TAATTATATTATATTCAAGCAGAATGTCTAAAGAATGTCAAAGTGTATGCAACAGTGAACGGCCTCAAACGGAGCACCCTGTATGCTGACTAGCAGAAAACACGGCAAAAAGCACACTGAGCAAACAGTCGGTACCGTCCACACGACAAAGCGTTGATTTTTCTGCTGCCGCCGCTATCGACGCAGCCGTCACCTCTGCTGCCTCTTGCTGCTGTTGTTGCTGTTGTTGCTGTTGTCGTAAGGCGGCGTCGGAGTCTGTGCCGTCGGCTACATGGCATTCATTTGTGCTACATGCATAACTATTTTAAGTGCGCATGTGTGAGTGAGTGAGTGTGAGTGTTTGTGTGTGTGTGTATGTGTCTCTCTCCTTCTATGTCTCCCTCTCTCTCATTCCTCCTCTCTCTCTGTCACTGTTGGTAACTATCTGCGTTGGCCTCTACCTGGTGCCCAACTGCACTACCACTTTCACAATGTACGCTGGCGCTGCAGCAACAGCAGCAATAGCAGCGCAGCCGCAGCAAAGGCAACAAGCAAAACAAAAAACAAGGCACAGCATGTTCGAATGTTTGAAAGTTCGAAAATGAATGCAAGCCACAAAATGAATCTGAAAGCTACAAAGCGCAAAAAAACACAGGGCCGGATCAGCAGACAGGCGCTGCGCGTTCAACTCAACTGTATTTGGTGGCGTCAGCTGGCAAAATACTCTGAATGCGCACCTGTAAATAATGTTTAGCCAAGTTTCAAACCAGTAAATGCGAGCAAGTTCGTTGCCTGAGTCATTTGTTATTGCACAAGCTATTAAATGCGTACCTGGGAAACGCGGCTCTAGAGCTATGCAGGTGCACACACAAACATACAAACACACACACACATACACACTGGCAGCGCAACAGGCGCAGGCGCAGGCGCAGGGACAAATATGTATGGTCTGCTACCTGTGTGCGTGTCTGTGTTGCCAGTGTAGAGACAACATCATCATCGAATCGGTGAATTTCAGTTTTGCTCGCTCGTTTGGTCGACTGCTGCTGCTGCAGTCGACGCCGACGCCGATGCCGACGCAGCTCGCTCAATATCAGTTACGAAAGAGATGAAACCATAAAAAGCAATAATAATCGAGCAACATGCACGCTCTCGCACACAGACATTCACCTGTGTGCGCCTGCACAGACACAGGTCGAGAGAGCGCGCGCGAGAGAGAGAGAGAGAGAGAAGGTGAGCAGCGACTGCGCAGCCGAACAGCAGCAGCCGCTGCCGCAGCGACGCGCTCTGAGCAGCAGTAGCAGCAGCAGCAGCAGCAGCAGCAACAACACATTCAACAGTTGAACAATCTCCAATTGACTCTTTGGGCATTATAGCCGAGCTCAACGTTCATCCGCGACAAGTTTTTCGTACCTTTCGTGCAGGCGAGTTACACATTTTCGCTTTGGCTCCTCAATAAACAACAAATTAAATACTGAAAACAAATAATTATTAATTGAAATTGCAAATGCACAGAGTTGCCAGATTATTTGAGTAAACTCTGCGAATTATTTAAATTAATAAAGTGAAGTAAAGCAACCAGCAGCAGCAGCAGCAGAAGTAGAAGAAGAAGCACTAAAAAATAGAAACGAAGAAAAGTACAAAAAACACACACACATACACACACGCACACACACATACATATAGAGTGAAATACGTTCGCGTTCGGTTCGCGTGTGCCAGCAACAGTGCGCGCGCTTGCTTGTGTGTGTGTGTGTCTCAGTCTGTCTCTGTGTGCATGTACTCGCTGTGGTGTGCYCATGTGTGTGTGTGTGTGCGAGTCGTGCCTGCCGTCGCTGTGTGCGTGCGTGCGTTTGTGTGAGCCAAAACGAGACGCCATCAAAGCTGAGCAACGGCAACAGAAATAAAAATTCAAAATACAAATTGTGATTAATAACAAAACGAAAAAAGCAAAAGCAAAACAGCAAAAACAAAAGCAAAGAACAACAAAAGGCGAACGCGCAGAAATTTAAAAAAGCGCGTAAACCCAAAGCACACACACACACACATGTAGGTGTATGTGTGTGCCTGTGTCTGTGTATATACCAACCAGAGCAACAGCAGCCACAACAACAACTGAAAAATACTAAAATACTAAACTAAAGCATTAAGGCGGGCTCCACAATGAAAAATGTATAAACTGTTAACAAAAGTGCAAAAGCAACCACAACAACAACAACCGCAACAACAAAAGAGAGACGCAAATGCTGCGCGCATCCGCTGCCACCGCCAGCACCGCCTCCGCAGCCGTGTTTCGTGTACGTCGTGGCAATTAAAAAAGTTTTATGCAAAATACGCAAATCAAATGTTAATGCTGTGAGCTGTGCATTGTACATGTGTGTGTATGTGTATGTGTATGTGTGTGCGTGCGTCCAAAATGCACACAGCCACTACAGCAACAACAAGAGCAGCAACAGCAGCAACAACAGTCAACAACAATCAACAACAGCAACGAGACCAAGGAGTCGCACATTAGAAGCTCACAGCTAGCAGTCAGGCTTTGAGCCAAAGACGCATACCAACAGCAGCAGCGCTAAAGTGGCGAAAGGTGCACCCACCAGCAGCGGCAACAGCAACAGCCACAGCAGCAGCAGCAACAACAACAATCAACAATTCCAGCAGTCAGCCACGAATTAAGCGGGCACCACAAATACATGCAAAACACACACACACACATATATACATATATAACTACGTTCGTTAGTTCGTTAAACATTTACGGTGTTTTTTTCTCGAAATTATTTCGAACATGCCGTCGCCGCCTACCAAGCCTTCCAGCCTTCCAGTGATAGTGTGCCATAGTGATCCTTACGAATTGTAGTGCCAAAATTCCAATATATACATATACAACGTTTTTACCTGGTACTCGGCGCTGTGGACAGCTGCAACGCATACAAAATATACATATTTGTAAGTATTGCTCTTTCATTCTCGCAATCTACTGTATATATAAATGTATGTGTATACAGAGAAGTAATTATAAATGCATAAAATGCAACACTGCGCTCTGAGCCAGGCTTAAAGAAACGCGCAACAGCGACATCAATAAAAGCCAAATATAAAGCACCCTGTAAGGTGCGCTGTCAACGTCGCAGCCGCGATGGTAATAGGCAATAGTG